CAGCCGTTGCAATTTCTAAAAGTTAAACAAGTGACAAAAACTGAGCTAATCCCCTCTGTTCGTAAAACGTAGAGAGATTACAGTCATCAAACAGCTCCTACAGCATATTTAATCCTTGTGTGTGCAAGGACTGAGGCAAACGTGGAGGACTGTGGCAAATGATATAAGTTTTACGGGTGTGGGGTTGGTTGGACCCCATTTGTAAACAGAAGGGTTAAAATAAAACAATTGACCAATATAAATAGAAATTCACCCATTCTTGCATCTTGACAGAACTAACAGAAACTAAACTGTTTATAGATTTGTATCATGGAGAATCTAATTTCTAATCTTTATTTTAAGTCGTATTTAATAGACATATCTAATAACAAATGATGGCACTACTAATATTTTCGTGACAGATTTCTCCTTGTCCTGTATTGGGATAAAATGGTTTTCTGGACACAATGAATCACATAGCGACCAATAGGCACTGTCCAGTCCAGAAATGCATATCAATTAGCAGCAGTATGAAAGACATACAAATAATGAACTATACTACATTAAGAAATTGTTTTTAAGCCTCGGTGCTACATGAAGCTCATTTTGAAACAATGCAAGTTAAAAATTATATTTTGTATATATATACTGCCACCCCTGAAAAAATCATTGCCCCCCTCTTGTCACCCCATAAATATTTTTCTAGATCCGCCCCTGCTTGAAGACTTGAAGAATTGCTGACAATACTTATTTCACAACTACAGTCTTAAAAACAACAACAAAAATAATTAAAATAAATATCAATAATTTTCACTTCTTTAAATCCAAATTAAGTCAGCAGCCTTTTCAGACCCTCTGGCCATAAAGGACCCAATAAATGCTAACATTTTAATATAGATCACAGATATAGAAATCTACCATTTGTTTATTGTAAATATTAAATTTGATTTAATGGTTCCAGCATAAGGATTGAAGGACTTCATATTTTTTAAGGTTGACTATAACATGATAAAAGTCAAGTCGAAGTCAACTTTTCGCGATGACATCATAGTGACGTAAGTGCAAAATGCTTCTTGGACGCTTTATCAGCTATATGCACGGCAAATATTGATAAAAAAAGCACTTTTAACAAGTCTATTATGCAGAATTAAAATAAGAAACAATCTGGAAAAATCTGTTTTGTCACGTGATTGGGACTAGTCGACTGGCCTCGTAAAAAATCATTGCAGAGTAAAGAATTGACTAGTCGATTAGTTGGTGCAACCCCCAATTCCAGCATAGATAAATTAACAGATTTCAAATTGTTTAACATTTAAATTTAAGACTTTAAGGAGCCGGCAAGTTTACTTTGTAAAAATGCAAAGAACAATCTTCATAGTTAGATTGCTTTGTTACCATAGCTACAATCTGATGCTATGAGTTTAACCTTTGAGTCTGAGTCCTTTTGTTCACAAATCACAGTAAACTACAATTATCACTGATTGCTTTTAAGGTTAGCCAATTAACCCTTGTGTGTGCGAGGACTGAGGCAAACGTAGAGGACTATGGCAAATGATACAAGTTTTACGTGTGTGGGGTCGGTTGGACCCCATTTCTACATACAAGGGTTAAACTAGGTCCCCTGTCCCAGATTTCTCTAATTCTATGAGAAATGCTGTTAGTGATTTTGATGTTCTTAGCAGCAAGAGGTTTTCTTAATAAAAAACAAAAATAAGCTACACTTAGCCTGGTAGGGGGCAGGCGGCCCGCCAGACTTATAATACATGAAACCCTGGTATTGCTTTGTTCAGTGGAGTGACCTTTCGTATAAACAGCATTCTGACCTTGTGGAGCTTTAGAGGGTTCATCTATGCTAGAGAAGCAGTCAGTTTTCTTTTTCTTGGCAACAGCTGTCCCCTTCTTATCAAAGGTAAGTGGACTGTACTGTGGCAGGCTGTTGAACTTCTTTTCAAACTCCTCTTCTAGTTTTCCCAGGCTGAAAAATCAAGACCAAAGTTAGATCACAAACAGTGGAGGCAATAATTGTTTGGTACCCATTTTTTAAAGGTTTTGAATGCTCTAGTGGCCTTTATTTGATAGTGAATTAAAAGGAAAGGGGGTAACGAGAGAAGGGGAAAGTCATGCAGCATTGGTCACCAGGCTGGGAATCACGTCGAGTACTAAGGCCTCTCTATGTGGGTTGTGCTTAACCCCTTTAAATGGCTTACAAAGAAATGAAATAATTTAAACCAAGAAGCTTGATTCTGATAGGGAAGGACCCCAGCATCTCATTTCATTATATTTTAAAAGGATGTAATGTAAAAGAAAACCAAATTTGGAAAATATATTTTTTTATTGCATAACACAGGAGATGTGTCATGTTTTTCCACTGATATTCTTACAAGTCCTCATTGGTGATGAACCCTAAATCCTTAAGACTGAAAGCCCTACTTGCCATCACCCTAATCTTTAGCTCTTTCCACAGATTTTACATGACTTAAATGTATTTGTGGTGGGATATGACAAACCTCTGTAAAGACTCTTCTTTGGACTTGGACTTTTTTAGCTTCTTGGTATTACTTGGTCCCACGTGTGAAACTGTCCAGCTGTCCTGACTCCAGTTAGAATCATGATCAAATGCGCGGAAAGCACCTCTTTTACCTGCAGAAATGAGTCAGCCATATTAGTAATGTTTATCAGCATTCCTTAACTACATATTTTTACAAGACTAGAGTGGAATGTTTAATCTATTTGGTTGAGAATTCAAATTAAATACCTCTGTCTATATTGGCTCTCAATGAAGTTAGCATTCCCTCAGACACAAGAGTTTTGTACAAGGCACCCTTACAGCTTCGCTCGGATTTTCTGGAGCCATGGTTGTGTGTGTTCAGCTCACAGGTTGTGTCACTAGCCTTTTGTTGTTCTTTCTCCTTGTGCTTCTCCTTGTCCTCTTCTTTGGGCTTCACTGGCGATTGGCCACAGTTGGGCTGGGGACACTCTGGCCTGCAGCCTTGAAGGCCTGTGGTTTCACCATCTACACTTTCTGCTTCAGTCCTGGCCTCAATGCCAGGCACTACTTTCTTTCTCTCCCCTTCAGAGGACCCCTGCAGCTTGCTGCTGTCTTCCAACTCTTCTTCTTTCGCTTTAACCAGTATCTTAACTTTGGTCTTAGTTTTCTTTTGTGGCAGACCAGAGCTTCTACTGATAAGACTGGGAGGGGTCTTCTTCTTGGATTTATCCTCTTTGTCAATCCAGGCTCCTCTTGCCACTGCCTCAATGGTGCTGTCCACATTTGATTCAAAGTGCTGACAATTCATGCCCACTCTCTTTTCTGAACATGGGATGTCATTAGACTTCACCTCCTCATATTTCTTGTTCTTCTTTTTGACACATCCACTTTGGCTTGTTTGCTGAACAGTGGGGGTGGATGTTCCAGAGGAAGGAGATGGAGGGGAGGGCGATCTATGAGGAGGTCTACAGCAGTCAGAGTTGTCTCTCTCCTCCTTAACTCCTGGCTTCATGGATATTTGCTTGAGAGTTGCTGTGGAGCAGTTGTCATCGGGCTGAGACACTATTGAGTCTACTTTCCCTGCTTCTGATGCTAAACACATCTAAAAAACAAAACAAAACAATTACATTATGTGAATCTGTATTTTCGATAATACCCTCCACATATCCTATATAATCGTAATGATTCAATTCAGGATATAAAACAGCAGGGATGGAGTTAAGACCAGTCATTCTGAGATGAATATCAAGGTCAAATATTTAGAACTTCTGACAAATATTTTAGGCATTGCCTTTTGCACACCAAAAAATGCAAAGATTAATGGGAAAAATTTTTTTAATTATTCAAACAAAGTGTAGTTTGATCAACTTAGTAATTTTTGGTAAAAGCCACTGCAGTTTTTAGCCAATTGTAGAAATGTACATAATAGTGATAATAATATATTACTATTTTTACAAGTTTAGCAGCAATATGAGACACCATATATCAGTAAGGCACAGATCTCAGAGATAGCAATGTTGGCTCCTTTGTGTCGAGCCCATTATTACTGTATGTTCAACAAAGCAGAGTCGCAAACGTAAGTAAAAAGGTGAGCGAGGAACACCTATGTTGGGTGATCGTTGAGGGAGGGGATGCTGTTGGGAACCGGGGTTGTGGGAATGGCTGTTTTGCTGCTTTTCCCCTCCTTATCCACTAGAGGGTGCCAAGAGGCTGCACCTACCTGGAGGGCATAGCTGTGGTTCCTGGATCCAGCGCACCTGCGACCTACAATCTCATCATCTGTGAGGAGTATATGAGCAGGAGGCTGCTGGCACTTCAGCGCCAGAGTGTTTGCCAGTAATGGTACTCCAGCACCCCGAGTTTGCTCTCTGTAATCTCACCAAATTGACTCTTAGTAATATTTCCTTGTTGCCTCCTCCTCAGGTGTTTTCCTAGTGACACCTTGGACCCGATCTCTGTGAAGCCCTGGGTTTACTGCTTTCTGGATTATCTCCCTCGTGACGCTGTGGATGTTACCCACTGGTTGCCTGAGTTCCATCGTCAACTCGGCAATCAACCTTACCTCTTGAATTTTCTGGCCGGCAGCCCATCTCGCTCCTCACCTCCTCCGCTCCAGTGCTTGCCTGTCCGCCCTCCACTGCAGCCTCCACTACCATCAAGAAACCCTCTTCATCCGAACACAGTCCCGGTGACTACAGTACTTCACCTCAATACTCCGGCGACACTGGTTGCAGCCCCCCACGGTCCAGACAGCCAAATTCAAACTCTTTGTTTAAATAAACTTTATTTTACTGATTGCTGTTCTCCAAGTGGTGTTCTGCATGTGGGTCAGAAAACTAGAATCCAACATGACAGAACACTCTGGCCAACAGACAAACCCAGGAGACACACTCCGGAGAACTTTAGAGGAACAACACTCTCTCATTCAGAACTATGACACTTTATAGGAACTAAATAATCGTCAAGCAGAAACTAACTGCCACCTTGAAGAACTCGCTAACTTTTTACAAAACTCTTTTCAACAGACTTCCACTGCCGCTGCGACGACAGCTCAAGTCCCTGCCTCCAGGTCTGAAACTCCAATCCGTGCCACGTTTTCCGACCTATGACTACTACACAATCCCCGCATTAACTGGTCAGAAAAACATATTGTACCATGGTCACTAAACTGTTACTCCACCTGTCTCCGCTCAGCAGTCCCTCCAGGTCCTCCACCAGTGAAACAGCATGAAGCTGACCCACCTGATCTCTCCACCATCCAGTGAATTATCATGATCTAGCACCGGTTTTCAGTAAGTCCAAAGCACTATCTCTTCCGCCTCATCATCCTTATGATTGTGCAATCGATCTCCCTGGAGCACTACTACCCAACACTCGCCTGTATCACATATCACAACCTGAAAGAGAGACTATGGAGAGATGCATAAAGGAGTCCCTGGCTGCCGGCATCATCCGCCCTTCATCCTCACCTTTGGGTGCAGGATTCTTCTTCGTAGGGATTGAGGTTTGAATCAAATTACTGTTAAAAACAAATACCCTTTGCCACTTCTTTCATCAGCTTTTGAACCAGTCCATGAAGCCACCATTTTTACTAAACTCAACCTCAGAAATGCGTATCATTTCCTTCGCATCCACGAAGGGGATGAGTGGAAGACGGCATTCAAAACAACCCTAGGTCATTTCGAGTATCTGGTTATGCCCTTTGGCCTGTCTTGTGCCCCAGCCTGTTTTCAAGCCTTAGTGAACGATGTCCTGAGAGATTTTCTGAACATGTTTGTGCTTGTCTACCTCAATTATATTTTGATTTATTCTAAGACTCTCTCAGAACACATGAATCATGTCCGCTTCATCCTGTAGCGCCTCCTGGAGAACAAGCTGAAAAGTGTGAGTTTCATCGACCCTCTGTTACTTTCCTGGGATTCATACTAGAGGGTGGACAGGTAAGACCCAAGGAGGAAAAGATCAAAGCGGTGTTGGAATGGTCCACTCCTGAAACTCGTAAGCAGCTCCAAAGATTCCTTGGGTTCGCCAACTTCTATCGCTGTTTCATCAGAAACTACAGTCAAATAGCACAACCTCTAACTGCCCTCACCTCCACTAAGACATAGTTTTTCTGGACCCCTGAAGAAGATGCAGCATTAATCCAGCACAAAACATTTTTCACCAAGGCACCTATCCTCATCCAACCAGATCCCTCCAAACAATTTATTGTAGAAGTAGATGCATCTGAGACAGGAGATGCATCTACTGTTCTTTCACAATTTTCAGAGCTTGACCACAAAACTCACCCTTGTGCTTTTTTCTCCCACAGATTGTCTCCTGCGGAGCAAAATTATGATGTGGGTGATCAAAAACTGCTCGCCATAAAGCTTGCTCTTGTAATTTTGTTGCTCTGCACAAAATAATCAACCCGTATTTTATTTTGGCGGGTCAAACTGACTGCACACTTTAAGTTCCGGGTCACAGGTGAATTCGGATCTCCTCCATTGCTGTTGCTGCTGTCACTGTGGCTAGTTGCTTGTGTTGGCATCTTCCAAAATCATGGAAGAATACGGCTGGATCGAGCCCTATTAACACAGCCGAAGGATTATATTGGGTATTTTCTGGCAACCGCTCAACGGTGAGTCGTTTGTTTTACGTACTTTTTTTTTTTTTTTATAATAGAAATGTGGTGGCGACACGCCCACTCAATCTATGTATTGGTGATTTAAAAATGGTCTTATTGATTAAAAGGTCATTCTCTTTTTGTTAATTTTGTGGCCGAATAGATGATATATCCTCAAAATATTAAATACGCCCTTTGATTTTTGTAAATTTGTCCTTTTAGGATAGTTTTAGTTACTTTTCATTGATTTTGTTGGCGGCCTATAGAACTCTGGAATTGGTTAATTTCTTTGGAGTTGCACAACAAAACAAAAGAAAAAAGGAAAAACAATTGTTTATTGAAACAATACTGAAGTCGATTAAGTTTAATTGACTCTAATGTCAATTAAACTTAGGTACAACTTAAAAGTCCACTTTAATTTGATCTGTAACTTTATTTGGATCTGTAACATTAATGTGATCTTTAATTTGAAATTCATTTGAATAATTCCTGAGAAATACTTTATGGAATATAGCTATTTTTTAAATTATTGAATGTTTAGTTATTTTTGGATAACAGTTTAACCCTGTTTAAATGTGAATGCTAATTTGTTTTTATTTTTATTTATGACCTTGTTTCGGTCAGGTTTTTTTCCACCCCCCTGTTTCAAGCCAGGATGGCGAGCTACCAGATCACTGCAGCTTTCCGGTAGGACTTAATTGAACCAAACTACTTTATTCATTCTGGACCTACTGCCTTGGATCATGGACTAAAAACAGTCAGATTATTGATTGATGGACTATTAATCACCCAGGATTCAAGAACAGACTTAAAATAGGAAAAAAAAAACTCTTGGGTGTCATCAGGGTTTATTGTTTTGTTGTTTTTGTTTTTCTTCTTGTGTCTTTTGGTTATATTCATAGAAAATCACTATTATTATAAATATTATTATTGAATACCTTCCTAAATATATGCAAAAATATAAGCTTGAATAGAATAACTTGAATTTACTTTCTGTCTGATAGTGTTTTATTCACACACACGGGCTCCACAGCCAGACCTTTCTGACTGCCTATTATTATATTTGGCCATAGTCAGGGGCCAAGCCTTAATTAGCGTTGCACTCTGGAAGAGTGGTGGAACTGGTTGGAGGGTGCGAATCATCCCGTGCTGGTCTGGACGGATTACAAGAATCTTTCATATCTTCAATCTGCTAAAAGACTCGATACCCATCAATCCTGTTGGTCATTGTTTTTCTCTCGGTTTAATCTGTCTATCTCTTACTGTCCAGGCTCCAGGAACATTAAACCTCTGCCCAGAATACATTCTCTAGATGACTCTGAGAAGACCCCTGCCACCATCTTGCCCCCCAGTTGTACCGTCGCAGCCATTACCTGGGAGATTGAGGATCTCATTAAGCAAGTACAGCAGTCTGAACCCAACCCTGGCACCGGTCCCACTAACAAGAGATACATCCCCACCTCCGTCAGAGCCTGCTTAATCCATTGAATGCATTCAGCCAAATTTTCAGTCCCTCTTGAAAATGAGATCTGGATCTCAACAGGGTTTACCTGGTTAAATAAAGGAAATAAAAATAAAAAAAATACTGGTATCACTCCCTTATTTCCCGTCGATTCTGGTGGCCATCCATTCATAAAGACGTCAAAGAGTATGTTCTTGCTTGTCCCACCTGCGCTTGGAACAAGTTCTGCCATCAATCTCCATCTGGTCTGCAACAGCAGTTGTCCATACCCAAACGCTCCTGGTTACACATAGCCGTCACCTTCATCACCAGACTACCCATCTCCAAAGGTTTGACCACCATATACACTATTGTCGACTGTTTTTCTAAATCCTGCCTTTTAATCCCTCTAAGAAAGCTTCCTTCAGCCTTCTAGATTGTGCAGCTCCTGGTAAAACATGTATTCCAATTACACGGCATCCCACAAGAAATCTTATCTGACCGCGGACCACAATTCATAGCCCAGGTTTGGAAACATTTTTGTTCAGCCCTTGAAGCTACAGTATCTCTAACCTCTGGTTA